CCATGCCGGGCCATATGTATGTGAAGTGTATGACAATGAAAACGAACATGACTTAAAGATACTTTTTCACATCATTAATTATACTTAAAAATGTTTTGTTTTAAGTTCGAAGTGACTGTTAATTTTCTAGGAATAATTATATGACACAGTATATTCTTAAGTATAAATAGTGAAAATTGAAAGAACAAACTTTCTTTGTAATTTGCATCATTATTTTTTCATTTTAGTATGTTAAATGTTTTCGATAATAGGACATTTCCTGATGGAGCAGATGAACCCCACGTGAAGCAGAAGCCAACGAGACAGAGACCAGTACGGAAGAAGATACGTGCCGTAAAATTAAGAGACTTTGTAAATTCTGTACATTTAATTAAGTTATTGTTAATTATCTATTGGTTTAATGTAAGTGGCTATTGTTGGGGACGAACAATACTAATGAAGGGGTAGTGTTACGACAGCGGAAGTCACGTGACGCTGGTAACACGTGATGAGTTTCTAGAAGGATCATGACTCTTCCTGGCAACTCTAGTCTTTTCTACGCGCCCTGTATTTTAGTATGTAAGTCCGGCAAATAAAGCGGAGAGATAATAAATTGCAGATAGGAGATATAGAGACAGATAATCGAGTCAAGTTAGCGGTAGTGACCGTCAGTAAAGTGCGTGAATCGTTGGCAATAATAGCGTGGGTTCAAGTTAAAGTGACTGTGGGAATTCTGTGTATTATAAAGTTGTATCGAGAAATAATAAACTAGTTTTAATTAAGAAAGGACTTGTATCGCTAAAGTTTCTCGGGAATAATTTATACCGGAAATTAACACACGGCCAGAGATGTAACAATACTTTAAAGACCAAATCCACTGAAAAACTTAAATTAGCTACAATATAGCTTTCAAAATTATATTTATCACATTTTCTACGTGAAATATTTTGAATAACTAACAGTCACATCAGTGGTAGTAACTTCATTAAGGGCTTCACTGTTTCCCTTCTCAAAACCGGGCCGAATTTCTTCTTCGACAGTGGCTTTTTCAGGTGATATATTGTTGCGTCAGCAGTCACATGACCGCCGTGACGCAACGTTTCTAGAACTATCATGTACTTTGTC